GTTGCCTATATATTTAATGTAGTCTGTTAATTCATGCAAGTGAGTTACTATTTGGCTATTTTATTTAGCACTATCCTTAGTAGGTTGGAAGATTCAATGCATTGGAAGAAAACATTCTTATTATGCCCAAAGGAATGATATGCAGTACAGTATTTTTTTTTCATCTAAATTAATGTTCAATGATATCTATATCCTTACTTTATTATACCTTTGGGAAATCAATAGAAACTTTAATTTCCTACACCCGTATAGCTGCCAGTAACTGAAATGTCACTGCATGTGATTGTTTCCCTAGCTGATTTAATTAGAAATGTGTTTTTTTATTGGAAAGTGATTTTTTAGGATTCCATAGTATTCAGTACTTTCCAGCAAACATAATTGTCAATATATTGAATCTTCTTTAAATTGGTTCATTACGAGGTCTGGCATTAATAAACTGAGATTGTTTCGCAGGTTTCTGTCTCTGCTTGTATACAACTGCAGTCCCTAAGACATTTGATAGCATATTTACATATAAACAACCTGCGATAAATAATATTGTGCAATGTTTGTGAAACACAATAAATGTAATTGTAGAATTAACCGTAAACCCAAACACAGCACTAATATATCTGTATGCATTGTGACTTGAATTGGTCATCATACAGTCTAATTCTATTTTTAGATTTGAGGTCGTTATATTAGTAAGAATGTTTTATAAGTATAGTACAGTATATGCCTAATATATATGTGTATCATATATATATTTTGGGAAAATTTAAACATTATTACAAAGCATGATTTTGTCATGCCAGGAAGCATTTATTTTGCAGTATATGCTTAAATGATTTGAATTAATTAGACGGTAAAATAAAAACTGGGTATGATTAATTTAGTTTTCAAATCCACTTAATACTTGAAATACTGAACCAAATTAAATTATTTACAGTATTGAATTTCCTCAATTAGAAGCGCAAGTCTCCAATAGAAGTGCATATAAACCAATGCATGTGTTGTATGTATACTGAATCATTAAAATATGACTATTATCACCATAGAAACACACTTGTAATGTACATAAAGGCATGTGCTTCTAATAAAGCAAATACGGTATTACAAATGCCACTTGTACAGTCTCCAAGATGTAATAGATCCCCATATCTTTCTGGCTTGGTAAAGAAAAGAAAAGGTTTTCATGTTACCAGTTTGCTTGACTGAGCATTTGTAAATAAGACATGCAATTGATATTTGTATTTAGGATCAGTTCTATGTCTGTGAAAACAAATGTAACAAGGTTGTGCAGTTAATTGTGCATGTTATTGACTTTTTGACATGGAATGCTCAACTTTTTTGGTTCCATGATGTTTAAATTTTCCCCAGGATTTTCTACTTTAAAATGATATCACATTTTAATACTATTTAAGGTAGTTGACTCCCGTGAAATCAGATCAGATTTTTTGAATTTGACATTATGGTTTTCGCATCGAACTACTTTTTCTGTGGAAATGATGGTTTTTGTAAAAAGTTTTCATCATACATGTATCTCAAAATTGTATTGAATTGTTTCAAAAATTTCCATTTCTACAGTTTTTTCACGAAAAAATGTTTCTCATTCCGAGTAAAAATTAATAACCCCAAAAGTTGATGACATTGAAAAATTGCATGTCATTACACAGCTGTATGTAAGAACCATATACATTTTGAATGTCATCACTGTTATACACACACGTAATTTTACTTTCATAATATAGGGCCTGCATCGGCCACTCTCAGAAAAACATTTCACAAAAGTCTATATGATGGTTTATCCATTTGCATAGAGTGGTAAGCAGTCTACATCAGAAAATAGCTTCTGTTTGTGCACATTGTGTCGTCATGTACTTCACATACTGGATTACGTATCATGCGTCACATGCTTATAAAGTTGAAAAAATGTCACGAAGAACAGACCTATTCAATTGTTGGGGGGAAAATAATGTTATATAAATGAATGTCTTGGAACAAATCCAATTCTGTGTGTATACATTTAGTAGTAAGGGGAGCACCTCTCAGTGATGTGCTATCTAATCAATAAGGTCATAGTCTCAACACAAAGGTTTCTTTTTGTCTATATTCTGTAGCTTGATTTTCTTACCAGGTGTGCACTGTAAAAAAAGTTATTGTTTATTTTGCAGTTTATTCGCTGAGCTATTTTTGAAATAGCTTTCGAATTCGTGCAGTTATTCGCTGTGTGGAGAGTTTAATGTACGAGCTTCTGTATGTTTGTTGTGGGTGTGTTCAGGGCGGAAGTCCAGAATTGAAATTTGCAATTTACTTTAACAGATTAATTTAACCCAATCCCATGTGGGAACACACCCTCTATATTTGAACACTGCCACTCGCCTTTACTTCCACTCCCCGATGAATCAAACAGAAACCATTGGCTGACTTCTGTTTTGTTTTTTTAAATCCTTTCGTCCATACAAACAAAAAAGTGGGTTCAGGCACTTCCATAATACTTTATTCCTACTTGACAGTTAAATAAATAATAAAGTAATTATCACAGTGGGGTAGTTGTCAAGGTAACATGTCTTGTTTATATAGCAACCAGTAATTGATGTACTTAGTAACAAGACACTACAAGGTGGCAGAGTATGATATATGTGTATAACTGATGTTATTTCAAATTTGTGATAAGTAATACTTTACATCAAGTATAAAAGTGATGTTATAATTCAATACGGTACCTTGGCTTGTTGCTTTGGAAACCAGTATTTTGTAACTATCTCCATAATGATCATTTTTTTTAAATGGTCAACATCGTGGCTATGTACGATTTAAAAATCAATAATGGACAATATTAACTGCTGTTTTTGAATTGACCAATTTCCTTTTAAAATCAGTCTAACATGTGTAGTCTTTAGGTTGAACCGCAGGAAACTGCCCGATGTTTCCTAATGTATTTCATAGTCGAATAGGTCTCCAACTTAATCGTCAATGTTGTGTTTTTTTCTTTCTTTTTTAAAATGTTTGTGTACATTATCTGAGATAAGTGGTGGTAAAACATACTCTGCAGCTTTAAAAGAGTTATTAACTTTGCGTTTCAGGAAGTGTGATAATGTAAAACCTCTACCCTGGATATAATTTGTACATGTGTTCCATAATAAAACTGTCCATGTTTTTTCTACAGTATAATTCACAAGTGCAAGATGACTTTAGCAATGTACAAAGGTCTACCACGCCCCAATCTTTCAAGTAAGTCATTGTATTTTTGTATAAAGCATTTTTCTTTTATATAGAGCTACATGATTGTTGCTTGTTTCCTTCCTTCTTGCTCTGTTGAAATCTGTTTTAATATAACTTCAATTAAATTATGTACAGCTTGGGTCTTTGTTGAGGTGGTTGGATTCCATTAACCAAATGCTTGGATTTCTTCTTCTTTTAAACTTTGGTAAATATTTAATGCTCTTCACAAAACCCAGAAAGAAATATATGGCCATTAAATTACTTTTCACAAAAACAGAGGTCAAACATCCATGGTCATTTTCGAGCTTTTTATTTACCATTGGTTCCTATTGTAGAAAGTCTCATCATATCTCAGAATTTGTTTTTGAATACCATGGAAATAAAATCATATGTAGTTATAAGATGGGTACCGGTACTTATGGTTGTCAAGAATTCCTTGGACATTCTGAGGATTACTATTTATTTTTTAAAAGATAACGCTTTAATAAGGAAATTGTTCCAAAAATGTTAATTTTTGCATCTTTTTAGGCAGTTTTCCTTCAAACAAATATTTCGTACTGGGAATAAAATGGATAAGTTGATGACATGTTTCAAAATCAATAATTATGTGAGATTTTTGAAACCACAAATTTTTTTAAATATTTTTCCTATTTATAAAAGGTTGAAAACTTGTGATCTACATTAAGGCAAAAAGCATTAGACTAGTTGACACTGTGAAAGAAATATTTAATTATTATAAAGGGCAGTCTGGTGGGGTGTCAAGTGCAGTAACTTCCATGGATGTGTCAAGCCTAAACTACATTTATTATTATTAATTTATTTATAATTATTATACATTTGTTTATTATTATTAACTGAAGCAAATTGCTTTTTTGTCTTTTCCAAAATAAAAAGTTCAATACGTTGGCCATTCCAGTAAGTAATAAAATGTACAATATATATTTTAAGTTGTACTTAATAATCAGATTGTTTTTGTTCATTGTATTTTGCATGGTTTACATTAGGAGCAACTAGAACTAGGAATTGATCCTTAGTACTGTTTTTCATCTTTATTTAAATTAGATATTTTCTACATTTATAATGTGTTTATACAGTCAGTGTGAAAAACTGACACTGATTCTAAAAGAAACCTGACTGAAATTTGGTTTTAATTCAGTTTATATTTCATAAAGTTACTGGTAAATCATGTGTGCAGTGTGTTTGTTGATATGTTGAATAGGTAGCTTGTTTTCTGGTATTATTGTATCTTTTTAAAAAAGTCTTACTTATAATGCAAGCAATATTCATAACCAAAGTATAGGAAGACACTCTCCATCACATCACAGTAACTGATCAGTTACTGTTTCTGAAGTTTAAAAGCTTGTGCCAGCTAGACCATACAGTGTTTGTCTGATACATCAGAGATACTTACAGTGCAGTCCAACATCTAAACTGGCTTTGCCTTTTCTTAAAGTGAATATCATTGTCAATATTATTTACAACATTTTTTTCTTAATTTAGTATTTTACCTGGGTTACCCATATAGGACAGTACAATTTTGATACGGTAGTTTTGAAAGCATGTTAAAATAGCTTAAAGCCAGCTTAAAGCATGGACTGTACTGTACTGTACTGTATGTATTACAGGTTTTTCTAGAAGAAATGAACAAGATGGAGCACACACAGACGATCAACCTGGAAATGCCATATTGGAAGGTTTCTGCACTGTTTTAACGATGTATCTATCGGCATTGAAATATTTTTGGTCCCTGGTTAGAAAAAACCCTGTTTTATACCTTACCAGGATGTTGATGTTCATTATAACAGTGTATACCTTACAGTATAAACCTTACATAGAGTACATTTTCATAAAACATGACCATAAAGTATCTATACTTTCCATTAAATTTGTTTTTATTTTATGGCTTGCTATAAAAAAAAATACCCAATCTACATGTCGCCAAAAGTTATATAACTCTTTATGTATTGTATTATATTAACTAAGAAAGTGATAATTTATGTCCACATATTTTAGTGCTTAATAATCAGGTCTTTTTATGAAATATTGATAGTGTTTATGTGTAAATGTTTTAGTATTTGCTGTTCATCAAGCCATTGTGCAACTGATGTGCGTACAAAAGACTTTCCAAGCAATGTAAATACAATCAATACTGTAAAAGGATTAATTATTCACTGGGTTTCGCTGCCTGGAAAATGCGCTAAATTAGAACCCAGTAAATATGTCAAATTTAGCATAGAACACATTACCCGGTAGCTAAATGACAAAACCATGAATTTAAAATCCACTGAATATGCCCGAAATGGTAAATCAGAGAAATTTAAACCCAGTGAAAATTAGTCATTTTACAGTAATACAGCGAGCTAGGGCAGCTTAGTCTCCACACTGCGTTCCGTTAAATATATTATTTTGTTTGGAAGTTTTTTTTATTCTTTTACGGTTTATTAGTTGATTGATATTTGGTTACCGGTAGTAAAACGGTTGATTAATTGTTTGTTGTTTTCTTTATTACTATTTTTAGTCCCCGTTCGGACGCAGTCCGAAAACGGGGACTTATGTTTTGCCCTGTGTGCGTCCGTCCGTTCGTCCGTGCGTCCGTCCGTCCGTCCGTGATCACCTGTATCTCGAACATGCATGGACCGATTAAGTTCAAACTTCACTCATACATCACACATTATATGGGACATATGCACATGCATTTTTTTCATGATCCGATTAACGATAGCCGAATAGCGGCCATTTTAAGGCCGAAAATGCATCAAAATCGCACATTTTCACCATTCCGGACCCGGATCTCAGTTATGCATGGACGGATTTTGTTCAAATTTGGTACATACATTAAACATAATAGGACCTTGATGCACGTCATTTTTTTTTTTGGATCGGGTTCGAAATGGCCGACTGGCGGCCATTTTGTTTTAAAGAATTC